GACCAAATGCGGTAGCCAGGCTGCGACTGCTACTGCGACTGCGACGACGACTGTTGGACGTGAGGCGCCACTTGCATCGCTGGCTGGCTGGCTGGCTCGTTGTCGCGGGGGCATGGCGTGAATCAGCACCCAATGAAATGCTAAATAAATTTTCACTTCCATTTTAATTAATTTGAATTTATTTGAGACTAAAATTACACCCAACATTTACATACCGCTGGCACAGCTGAGCCAACATTGGCTGCGTCTCTGAGACTAAAAATAATTTGAAAAATATTTTGTGTGTGTTTTTATGAAAAGGTAATGAAAGCCACATGTCCTCTATGTTGGCTACCTCCAAATGGAACTTTGTGTAGTGGAAATGCAGGAGATATTATGGAAGGGAATGACAAGGGACAGGGATAGGCCCATCCAAACTCACTTTTCTGGACGCCATGCTGACGGTGGATTGTTTGTTGAATGATCTCAAGTCGTAATACTTCGAAGAGTAATGGCTAATACTGATGTTCACTTGAGTGCCCGCTAATTACACAATGCCTGGCAGGTCGAGCACGTTTTTCACAAACAAAACACACTGCAAAGACACACACACACACACACGCACAATGAGAGCAATTCTCTAATGAGTTTTCTTTTTTCGTAAACAAATTTTGAGAAATTTTCGGCTGCGCGCGTTTGGTAAGGCGTTGAATTCAGTTCTGTTCTGGTCTCGTCTCGCCTCGGCTCCACTTGGTTGGGTTCTTTTCTGTGTTCTGTTGTCTTAGGTTGGGTTGGGGCTCTGTGGCGTCGTCACCGACGTTGTAATGTGTACTGCTGGTCGCGACAAATTTTCAACTCGACTGAGTTGCTTGCGCCTCCTTGCTCAAAGTTTTAATGCAGCCAAACGCGCGCAGTTTTATTTTTTTTTGCTCAATTTCTTTATTATTATTTTGCTCAGAAGAATCATACAGCAGTGGATGTGAGTATGGGTGCAGGTGGAACAGGTAGAATTGGTTTTTTTGGCATGAGTGGAATATACTAGCTGTTATGATAAATTGACTGATTTCAATGATGAATTTGGCATAAGTTAATTTTTATTAAAGACCTTATAATATACTCTAAATATGATGCTATATTCATTTATCTCGCCTGTACTTATGCCACCAGCCACGACTGTAACATCTTCAATACATAATTTGTTCAATATTTGTTTCGCTTTATGCTTTGTGTTGTGTTTTTGGTATTGCATGTGACGTTGACTTTGACGTCGAACGAACGTCGACTGCAGTCTTGACTCTGTTTGGCAGGTTTTTGGCGACGCGTTGCTGCTCTCTCCGGCCCCCCTCGTGGCCCCTGGCCCATCTTTCAGCCCCACGAATGTGATTTTCAGCGCGCAGCTGATTTTGTTGGCTTTCTATTCATAGAACTGCTTGTCCGATTAGTCGTCGTCTTTTGTCTGTTGTTGGCCAAAACTGAAAGTGCCTCCTGCCCATGTTTCATGTGTTGCCACTTTTGTTGGCGGTCGCGGTCGCCCCAAGTGCAATGCGCATTCCGTGTTCCCCCGCCAGTTGACTCATCGTCAAGCAAACATAATTGGAGAGACATATGTGCATATTATGTGCAAAATTAACGAACCGCATCAAAATCTTAAATCAAATTAAATTGAAAAGACATCAAACTTTGACACCCCGAAATTTATATACCCTTACTCCTTGACGACCATCAAAAGTACTTCTAAAGTCTTCTGCACTTCGTGCTTGCTGTTTGTATACTCCTGAATGATTTCTTCCTACCGTTGCAAGCTTCTGAAACAAATTATGTTACCCCCTGAAAGGGTATAGCAGCATGTTCTTGTGGCTAGTTTCGCCGTAGGAGATGACTAAGACCCTCCGGTCCAATCAGCTGTCATAAATTCTTCATTTTATTTCGCTTGGGTCGAGAGACTTTTGTTTCTAGATAAAACTCACAACGCTGAGAGCACGCTAAAAATATCGTAAATTTAATTTTGATTACGTGATTGGAACACTGGATTCCGGCAAAAGACGGATTGCCATCAATGTCTAAGATAGCTTAAACAACAATCAGTACTAAAAAATATCAAAATAAACAAGCTAGGTGCTAGAATAAGGTTATTGAAGCTCTCTGCTAATCATATAATCATATTTTTCTTAAAAAAATTCGCATAATTTTGTGTCCAAAATTGATTTAGCCATTTCGCGTGTGGCCACATGCGTGTGTACAATTTAAAACAAATTTTAGTTCTATTATGTATAATTATTCATGCCAGAAGTTATGAATTTTCCAACAGCTGTTTCGGTTGTTAAATTTTGATGTTCCGCATACGCCCCATTGCCGTCAAAGAATTTCACGTGTGCACGATTTCCCCCTTTCTCCACCGTTTTCTTGTGTTTCTGCTACTACAATTTTGTTCGCCCCGCAAAAAAATAAGAATTGTATTAGCAAGAACTCAGCGGTATCTTAGAAAATTTCACCAAAGAAATGCTCAACGTTTATACAACAATTAGATAACAGAATATAGAGATAAACATTTGTCAATCTGCCCAAACACTTACAATTGTTTCAATATTTGTCTGTTGTTGTACCGAAAGATAGTAATATGAAGTTCTTTGCTGTAATTTTCCTTCTGTGTGCAGTGGCTGGATGCTGCTACGCTGGTACTGGAACGGCCACAGCCGAAAGCTACGATACAACAACTTCAGCCTCGCCCGCCGCTACCGCCGGACCATGTGGAGGATATGAATTGGAGGACCTTGCGGTCAGGTTGTACGCAATGCCAGCAAATTATACTTCTTTTATTAAGAAATGCTCAGCTGATTATTTAATAAAAATTTGGTTTCTGACTAAGAATTTTGCCTTTGTGTACTCGCACTTAGAATTCAAACAAAAGAGTCAATGTTTTGAACACAATCAATAAATCAATAGAAATTCATAATTTGGCCAGGTGTTTCAACGATTAACAAAAAAATACGAACATCAGATGAATTTGTTCATTATAGTTCAGGCTCCGGTACATGTACTACCGGTACGGGTACCACCGGGGCAGGAACCACCAGGCACCACTTTCATCTGCCACAACCAGGTCACACAACTAGCTCGAAATGCAAGGAAGTTGTACTTCTTTTATTAAAGAACTATGTTTCCAAACGCTGCCCCAAAATAAATGAAATAATACCAGTTAAAAATGGCTACCATCCAAACAAGTAACAAAGATATTTAATTAGAGTTCGCCAAGCTTTTTTGATGATTCTTTGTCAAAGTTCAGATGTTAAATCGATCGTGTTTCGGCTCTCATACTAAACAACGAATTTATTGGTTGTCTAAATTAAACCAAAAACTTAAACCGATTACTTTATGCCTGCACCCAGTATTTGCAGATGAAAAAGCTCAATCTGATGCCATCTGCTACTCTCCTAACTCAGCCATTCAGATATACAATTTTAAACAAATTTATTCAACAACAAATTAAATATTTGCTCAGCTTTCTCCTTTTTGGTGCTCACCGATTTACTACGCAAAATGGATCAAGCATTTGTGTCAATATTTGTTGGTAAATTTGCCAGGTGGAAAGTATAAATGCGTACAATTTGCCCATTAAACTATCAGTTCCACTAAAGAAATATAAACATGAAGTTCTTGTCTGTCACAGTCCTTATGCTGTTGTGGGCCATTGCTGGCTGCTCTAGTACAGGTACAGGTACAGCTGCTACTACTATTGACTGGACTGGAACAGCTACGACTGCAGGATATGCGACAGCTGAGACCACAACAGCTCCAAGCCCGTCCAATCCATGTGGCGGTTTCGGAGGACCCTGCGGCAATATTCCTCGCGATGCCAGAAAATTATACTTCTTCTACTGAAACACGCTCCCCTCCCCTGCCGTGTTTGAAACAGAATAAAAAATCGAAAGAAAATGCTGCTAGTTTTTTACGAATTCCTCAGGTGCGCCCGAGCGTGCGACCGATGCTAAAATAAGATCAACAGCAAGGTAAACATTTCATCGACAGACAAATGCATTTTACGGCTCTTACAGCCGAAAACAATTAACGGCACTCCACGCGGCGTCCAGTAGAAAGCACTGAGCGACCCTTCCAACGCACTGTGGCAACAACCAAACACGAAAATATCTCACAAAATGTACGCCATATTTCACGCACACACGAAAGAACGCTCATAAGTAAGCAGCCAGACATGAAATATTTTGGCTTCTGCTTGTCCGAAAATCTATTATATTTATACATATATTATCAACAGCGAGTATGTAGAGGAACACTTTGGATCTCTATCGAGTATTATTCGTCACATTTATATGTATGTATATCGGCTATAGCTATTTCATCACTCAATTTGCCTTTATTGGAGACATTCTTTCACATACTTTGGCATTTTCACTTGTTTTTTTTCCACTGCCTTGTAAGAAATTGCGAAATTTCTGCTGCTCTATATGAATATAGAGTACATATATAAAATATATATAAAATGTACAACACACGCGCCTACATATGACCAGTACTACATGGACACTGCGTATACGCCGCGTATTCCAAGGGAGAACTGAACTCGACAACCGCACCGCACACGTCCAAGTCAATGCAGCAACTGAAAAATCTTTTCGAAATATGCCAAGATACAACTGATACACACAACTGAGTGAGTGTTTTTCCCCCATACCCTGTGGATTTTCTTAGCTGAATGGCGAGCGCGAAAAAAGAAATATTTTCAGAATTTCCATGCGCCGTCACTCGCTACTCGAGATCATCCCGTGAGCGATTTCGATCAGCAAACTTTTGACACTGCTCTCCTGCAAACAAGAGCATGACTAAGAGTTGGTTGTTGTCTGGGCTCCACCTGATTATAATTAGAGCAACCTCCGCCGGACACGTGCAGCCAGTTGGGGAGACATTTCCCCATCACTGACATAAATCAAAAATTGTGAGGAAGAAATGACTCAGTCTGAATGCCTTCTGCCCGTCTGTCTGCCAGCACAAATATTCACATCGAATTCATTTCTAAATATTTATTTAGCCAATTTGCTGCTTATAGACCTGTCCACATTTTCCATTGCCACTCATGGTCTGCCGCATCCAGTCCCTGTAGTAAATGATATTCATAAAAACATCCGGCACACCTTGGGCGCACGGCACAAAAAAGTTGAGAATGCCCACCAAGGTGCCCTCGTACACCAGCGGACCGCCGGAGTCGCCGTGACAGGCGCCAATATTCGCCTGACGATAGGCACACACATGACAGGCGCCCAGCTGCACATCCTCGTAGGGGGAGAGCAGATTCCTGCAGACTTGGCTGGTGATGTGCTGCTGCTGGACACGCTTCAGCTGAGCGGGCAGACTGCCAGCTACAGACTGGGAGCCCCAACCCGTGAAGAGCAGCTGAGCTGTGCCCTGGGGAAAGGGAGTGTCTGGCAGAGCCACAGGTTGGGTTAGAGCATCGAAGACAATGCTCTCGTTCAACCGCAGCAGCGCAATATCGTTGTGGTACTTTGGTGTGTCGTAGTTGCAGTGCAGATAAATTGATTCCGGATAGTACACGGCTCCAGGTTGCGCATGGAAAATGCTTCCCGTTGCCACTTGCAGGAGGTACACTGGATAACCCTTCACACAGTGTCCCGCGGTGAGTATCCAACGCTCCGAGATGATGGCTCCACCGCAGAGATGACTGCCTGGAAGGATTTGCAGTGAGATCTGGTAAGGGGCATCGCCCACAGCGGCATTCTGCCCACCGACTATGAAGTGCGCTTGCGACGCCACAAAAATGTTATGCAGAAATCCAACGGAGAGGCAAAGCACGATAAACTTTGGTAATGTCATGGCTGGTATCCAAAGAAAGACTGGGCTTGGACAGCCGACAGGTTGTGGTTCTACCCTGCGACGCTCGTAAAGCAATATCGTGGCCTGACCAAAGGTTCCGCTCCGTTCCGCCCAATCTCGGCCATAAACAGATTTTTTTATCAGACTTCGATAAGTGAAGGGTAAAAAGTGACCAGGTTCCATGGCATCTTTCGCCTGTCATTAGCTGTCCAGGCATAGACGCAAGATGACAGCATTGGCTCTACGTTTTCTGGTGGCCATCTGCGCCTTTTCCTGCATATCTGGCATACGCATCAAGAGCAACTCCACCAGCGGCAGGAGCAGCAGCAGCCTCTACAAGGATCAGCGCATTATTGGTGGCGAGGCAGCACCGGAGGGAATTGCCCCGTACCAGATATCACTGCAGAGCCTCTCGGGTGCCCATTCCTGTGGTGGTGCCATCATTGCCGACAAGTGGGTCCTCACCGCCGCTCACTGTGTCATGAACGCCAATCCCCAGCTGCTGGTGGTCGTCTCTGGCACGAATCAGTACAACAATCGGGAGAATCGCAACTTTGTGCAGGCTGTGCACATCCACTGCAACTACGACAATCCCTCGATGCACAATGACATCGCGCTGCTGCAGCTGACCGAGTCCATTGTGTGGAATGAGCGGACTCAACCCATACCGCTGCCTGTGGCGCCCATGCTGCCGGGCGACGAAGTGATTCTCACGGGCTGGGGCTCCACCATACTGTGGGGCAGCACACCCATCGATCTGCAGATAGTCTTCCTCAAGTACGTGCCACATCGCGAGTGCAAGGAGGCCTTGAACGGCGACGAGGACTGCGATGTGGGTCACATTTGCACCTTTTCGCGGCAGGGCGAAGGCGCATGCCATGGGGATTCGGGTGGTCCGCTGGTCAGCAATGGCCAGCTGGTGGGACTCGTCAACTGGGGCTGGCCCTGTGCCACTGGTGTGCCGGTAAGAGCTCATCAAACTCTTTCTAGACTCTTTGTTCCAACTTGAATCTCTCTTTTGCAGGATGTCCATGCCAATGTCTACTTCTACTCGGATTGGATACGCAATGTCATGAGTGGCAACACAAAGTGTGGAGGCTACGGCACCGCAGAGCGCTAGAGGGACTGTCGTTTGGCTATCGTTTGATCATAAAATAAAACATTAACGATACAAAACACACAGAAACCATTTACGATAAGACAAGGCCCATTAATAAAGGCATGAAAGTACCTTTGGGTGCTTAGTTTAGTTTGTGGCGAAACGTTCAAGATGCAGTTGCTTTACCCTTGCCTCATAGTTCTCCTGCTCCACTCTGGTCAGAGCCAGGCCAAGCGGGTGGTGGGAGAGGGTCCTATAGCCCCTTCTACCCGCATTAAGGGCGGAGAGCAGGCAGAGATTGGCTTTGCGCCCTACCAAGTGTCCCTCCAGCCCGTTGTTGGTGCCCACAACTGCGGTGGAGCCATACTCAACGAGCAGTGGATCATCACCGCGGGCCATTGTGTGGAGAACTTCGTTCCAGCGCTGGTAAATGTCATAACTGGCACGAATCGCTGGGAGGAGCCTGGAGCGGTCTATTACACCTCGGAGATTCACATGCACTGCATGTACGATCAGCCCTACATGCACAACGACATTGCGCTGGTGAAACTCACACAGAACATCACCTTTGATGAGTACACCCAACCCATTGAGCTGCCCACGCGGCCTGTCCGAGAGGGAGATGAGATTGTCCTCACCGGTTGGGGCGCGGAGGAGGCTTACGGCAGCTCCGCGGAGTATCTGCAAAAGCTAACCCTTGGCTTTGTGCCGCTCGAGGAGTGCCTGCGGATCTTCAATCAGACGAGCAGCATGGGCGTGGGTCACCTTTGCACGTACTCCCGTGAGGGCGAAGGCGCCTGTCACGGCGACTCGGGCGGACCACTGGTCAGCGATGGCCAGCTGGTGGGACTCGTCAACTGGGGTCGTCCCTGCGGTGTCGGCTTGCCTGATGTTCAGGCTAATGTTTACTACTATCTCGACTGGATACGCCGCAGGTTGAGTGGCAACGACAAGTGTCCTGCCTAGAGGAGATTCTCCGCAATAAACTTCAAACTTTTATCCCGATTTTGGCTTTATTTTGTTTAATTTGGGTAATTGCTGGCATAGCAGTGGCAGCTCTGGCAGGGTCCCTTCATCATGGAGCGTATCCAGTCCAAGTAAAAGTAGACAGAGGCATGGCTGTCGGGATAGCCCACAGCGCAGGGATAACCCCAGTTGACCAGCCCATAGAGCATGCCATTGGCCGTCAGCGGACCACCCGAATCGCCGTGGCAGGCGCCCTGTCCGCCCGTCGTCAGGGTGCACACATGGCAGTGGGCATTCATGGGATCATTGTCCATGATCTGCTGGCAGGTGGGATAATCCACGTAGGTCAAGGATGCCTTTTGCAGCAAATCGGGCGTATCACCCCACAGCTCGGTGGAGCCCCAGCCAGTGAGCAGCAGCTCCGTGCCATTGGCCAGCGGCTCCGTGGGCAGCGCCACGGGCTGTGTCACCTCATTGAACACAATCGAATCGTTCAGCTTGATCAGTGCAATGTCGTTGGAGTAGTCGGGAAAGTTGTAGTTGCAGTGCACCCAGAACTCCTCCACAAAGTATCTCGCATCGGGCTCGGCCCAGCGCACAGTGCCCGTGGCCACTCGCAGATAGTCCGGATTGTAGCCGTAGACACAGTGGGCCGCTGTCAGTATGTACCTCTCGTTGATGATCGCTCCACCGCACATGTGATCGTAGTAGTTGGCTCCCTGCAGCGAGATCTGGTACTTGGCCAGACCCAGCTCCGCATCGCTGCCATCAATGATGCGTCCCTGGAACGACCCGCTGACTCCCTGGGATAACCGCTCCTGCTGCTTGGCACTCAGCGGTGCCTCACGAATGGCAGCCACTCCACTGCACAGCAGGATCAGCAGGATCGTCGTCGTCGTGATAGCATATGCCAGTCGAAGCGGCATTGTGTTTGCTTTGGTTGAGTTTGTACGCGCCTATTAAGCGTCTCCACGGGTCGTGATTTTCCTTTTATACTCCACAGAAAATCTTGGATATATCGTAAGTTTTGTGTTTTATCGTAAATCGGATCGATGTTCCACAGTGGTTGGATGTTGTTCTATCTGTGCCATAAAGCAGACACCATAAAGTGATATAGAAGCATTCTGATTATGATTTTGTGGCCGGGGTTTTATCAATGTCAGCAGTGGATATGGTACGGAATCGGTCAGCAAATGGACATTGGCTCAGGGACAGGGCCAAGCCAGGGAGAGGGTAGAAGGAGGAGATTATAAAGATAAATCGGGAAAATTTGGTAATGTTTTTAGTAGCAGATCTAACCAGAGCTTCCTCAATTCCTTCCTTCCTTAATTAATAAAATGCAACATTTATTTCCATTACCCTTCTGCCTTTTCCCAGTTACATTAGCCATCGATTTTCTGCGTTGACATTCCACAGCCCTGACCAGAACCTAATCGCTGATCGTATAACGATTATATCCCAGTATGTCTCGATAGCATTTGTGTACAAACAGACCCATAAAGGCATTGATGGCACGTCTAAAACTTGGCATGACCAGGCAAATGGTCATTGCCTGCGGCTATTCCCTCCATTAATCGTAAATATAAACAATAAATTTATGTATCACATTTCCTTATTTATTATTTTAGTTAACGCGATTCTTGCAGCCCGCGGGTGTTCTGCGTATCCAATCCTGATAGTAAACTGTGTTGGCATACCTGGAAAATAATTGTAATTAAATAAAGTGGAGCAGAAATTGAGTTTTCCACTTACATATCCGGCAAACCCACACCGCAGGGTCGTCCCCAGTTGACCAAACCCACCAGCTTGCCCTCCCACATGATGGGACCACCGGAATCCCCGGAGCAGGCGCCCTCGCCCGCGCTTGTTAGGGTGCAAATGTGTCCAATGTCGATGCCCGTGTGATAATCCCAGGCCTCAAGACACTCCTCGTGTCCAATGATCGTTAGGTTGAGCGTCTGCAGGCGTTCCACGGTGGGAAAACTATTCTCGGGTGCACCCCAACCCGTGAGGGTTACTGTGGCGCCTGCAGGTGGCTGCTCGGAGCTGAGCTGCACCGCCTGAGTGCGTTCATTCATGATGATTGATTCGTTCACGTGAATCAATCCAATGTCGTTGTTGTAGAGGTGCGGCACATCGTACAGGCAGTGGACCAAAGCCTCATCTGGGTAGAGCAGCTGTCCGGGCTCGAGGCGGTTGTTGGTGCCCACCACGATCCGTAAGTCGCTGATGCTGTAGTCCAGAGCACAGTGGCCCGCGGTGAGGATCCATTCCTTGTCGAGGATGACACCGCCGCATATGTGCGTCTGCCAAACGGTTTGTATGGACACCTGATAAGGCGCCGCACCCTCCGCGGCCTCTTGGCCACCCACAATGCGGTTGTGCGACGATTTACGATCCAAACGCTTTGAAAATGTGACGTCAATGGAAGTTCCCAGCAGAAGAAGCCAAATTAAAGACAAACGGAGTCCAGGCCGTGGCATAATGAACGCGAAAGAGACAGAGACACGCAAAAAGAGAGACAGACGACGAATCGGGGACAGATCCAGACGAATTAATGACCAGCAATGGAAAATTGTATTACCCAACTGGGCGTTTTTATATGGATTCCCCCATATAAAGCGTTGTTATCGCTCGGCTCTCGGCTCTCTTCCACCCAACACTGACCACTGACCACTGACCACTGGCCGAATCTTTATGGCCCTCCTGCAGCGATATCTTTACTGTTTCTGGAAGGATAAAACCCAAACGGTATCGGCGCACAGGGTCTAATTGGAGCCAAAGACCGACCATAAACTGTTTCGATTCCGCGGTGCTGTCAAATCTCAGTCCTGTATAAATGCACTGAGCAAACCCGTTGGACAGCACACAATATCCGCAGGCCGCAAGGCCCACACTATGAATGCCCCACGAGGAATGACACTTATCTTGGTTCGTTTCTCTCATAAACTGTAGTCCATTATCCAACTTGTCCACTGGCGATAAGATGCGTCTGGAACTGTAATTATAAGTTGGTCAAAAGCAAAGGCGTTTCAGTTTCAGTTGCGATTCCACGGCACAGCAATGAGAACTTTGTGGAAAATTACGGGGCTGCTCGGGCTCACTTTGCTGACCCTTCAGGCAGCTACTGCCCTACGTTTGCGTGGGGAACAGCTTCCGGGTGTGGCTGGTCTCAGCAAACATCGCAGCAGCGAGGCAGATTCGGCCCCTGAGGGACGTGTGACTGGTGGCTCGACAGCCGCTACGGACAGCTGGCCCTGGATTGTCTCCTTGCAGAATATCTACAGCTATCATCTGTGTGGTGGGGCCATCATCGATAAGGAATGGATACTGACAGCCGCCAGCTGCGTCTCTGGGCTGAGGCCACGCAACATCCTTGTGGTCACGGGCACCACCGACTGGTGGAGCCTCTATGCCATTTACTACTTTGTGGACAGCATTCATGTCCACTGCAACTTCGACAAGCCGCTCTACCACAACGATGTGGCACTGCTGCACCTGTCGGCGGCCATCGAGTACAACGACAACACCAGAAACATCACCCTGGCAGACATTGACGAGCTGCAGGCGGGCGAGCAGCTGACCTTTGCCGGCTGGGGCAGCCCCGAGCCGAGTGGCACCTACGAGCGATACTTGCAGGAGGCAACGGGCAGCTATGTGCCCGTGGACCAGTGCCGCACGCAGCTGGGTAACACCTCAGACGTTGATCTGGGACATGTGTGCGTGCAGCCGCCAGCAGGACAAGGTGCCTGCCACGGCGACACTGGCGGCCCACTGATCGACGAGCAGCAGCGTCTCGTGGGCATTGGCAACTGGGGCGTGCCCTGTGGTCGCGGCTATCCAGTGAGTTCATATATTTATTGATTGCTTAACAGCTGTTTAATTGCTGCAACTCCTCTACCCTTTAGGATGTCTATGCACGTACGGCCTTCTATCACGATTGGATACGCACCACCATGAACGGCTGCACCATCAACTAGTCGCTCCCTGCAGACATTGGTCAGCTATCCACCTATCCAATATCCCCTATCAGTGCTTGAGTGTTGTATTGCCGATTTAATAAATATTATGGGATTTTTATGGCATGCCCAAAGTGTTGGGCTTTCTATGGTCACCCATGATTGAGATTGCACAATGGACTTTATGGCTCCCCATCATTAATATCTCGCCAGTCATCAGACTTTATATCGTAGATCGTAGATCGCATATCGTAGATCGTATGGCTATCCAAGTCTAGCTGCTTGCATTTCTAACTTGCCTGAAATCAGTCCAACTTCTGCTCTATATCCAACATGTCTTGTCGAGTCCGATCACTCTCCCTACCAGTCTGCCTCCTGCTGCTGCTGCTGGTGTCCTTCAGCCACGCAGGGCTCCGACATCGCGCTTTTACTGCCGCATCAGGTGGCAGCTCCACGGACAAGTTTAGTTCGCGCGTTGCAGGCGGCCAAGTGTCCGATGTGAAGGCGGCACCATATCAGGTCTCGCTGCAGAATTCTTACGGGTACTTACAGAATTTTAGTTGTGATTTATTGATTGAAGGAGATTGAATGAGATTCAATCAATAGAGAACCAATCTGTGGCAGGCCATACGCTGGTATAATTTGTGATAATTATTCCATTGGCATTCTTAAGACTTTGAATGCAGCAACTCAAGCTTCACAGATTTCCAAATTCTTCTACAAAATCCACGCAAAACTCATCCCAACCCGATACAAATCTCTCTTCTGCCTCTCCAGCAATCACTTCTGTGGCGGTGTCATCATTCACGATCAGTATGTGATCACTGCAGCCAGCTGCTTGGCCGGACTCCGCAAGAGCAACGTCAAAGTGGTAACCACAACGTACAACGATTGGGGCCTGGATGGCTGGGCGTATGATGTGGAGGAGATCATTCCCCACTGCAACTTTGATCAGCCGCTGTACCACAATGACATTGCACTGATCAAGACAAAGACGCTCTTCCTTTACGATGAGGTGACAAAGAACATAACCATTGCCCCGCTGGAGGATCTGGTTGAAGGGGAAAAGCTCACGATGTACGGCTGGGGCAGCACCACGGCTGGCGGTGACTTCGAGTGGGAGCTGCGACAGCTCGATCTGAGCTATGTGCCCACAGCGAAGTGCAATGCCACCTATGGCGGCACTGAGGATCTGGATCTGGGACATCTATGCGCCGTCGGACGCTTGGGCGCTGGTGCCTGTCACGGTGATGCCGGTGGACCGCTGGTCGACAGCCAGGGACGCCTCGTGGGCGTCGGCAATTGGGGCGTGCCCTGTGGCCATGGATTTCCCGATGTCTTCGCTAGGATTAGCTTCTACTACAGCTGGATACAGTCCACGATCAATGGCTGCAGCATTTCCTAAGCAATAAAATCTTTTTCAATTTGTTTCCAGACTTTTATTTGGGCTCCTAACTTTCCACTTTTAATTCAGAATATTTCGTTGATTTTTGTGCTGCCATAATAAACCTTTTTGATTAGGCCAAAGTCTACAACGAACTGAAGAGCACGGCAACCATTCATGTGATGTAGACACAAAATTGACATAAATTCGGATCTTGATCGTGGCAATCGCTAAACCAGACGTCTGGCTGGATTATCATCGAAGTTATCGAAGTTGTTGTAACCAAAGGCAGATAAGTGAATCGTCAGAAATGGGGCACAAAATGCTGTTGGGTTTTTTTTGCACTTGTCAATAGAAATACCCTAAAGTTAGGGATAAATTTATTAGGTGATGAAAAGTGGTGGAGAAGCTAAAAAAAACATTTCTCTTTGCAAAAAACTATTTTCAAATTGCTTAAACATTTTTTTAAACAATTATTTTGATTTCGATTCATATTCCATTTCCCTTTTTCATGGTTTAACTTTAATTTAGTGCAAAAATAGAGTATCTGAAGATTTAGGAGTGCCAAGAACTATTCAACTCACTGAAATCATTATTTATTATTTATTTTTGTTTACCTTTAGCGCTATCTGTGGGCCATCAAATCACCGCAAAATTATTTACTTACTTCGAGGGCATGCCCGCTACTGTGTCTCTGTCTTCCCTGCTGATTGGCAGTTATTGTTCCGGCCGGGAAAGTAAAGTAAAGTAAAGTTCAACTCGTAGTCGTATCAGCTGTCGGCGTCTGCAGATCACTCGCGAAACGGAGCTCGCGTCTCCGTTCAAAGTTCGCCCCCACATTGCGTATGGCGTATGAGTAATAAGTTTGTGTCGTGCTGCCATCCACCCACCTGCCACACACCTGCAGCTGAGAGCTCACACACTTATCAGGCGTATTGGCTATGGTAATTGTCATTATCAAAAGCTCCCCCCGAACTGCGGGCCCCCTTATCAGCGATAGTATTCAAAGAAAGTCTCCGTTCAGATAAGAAAATTTTTCGCACAGCGCCCCAGGGCCAGGGACTATAAAAGCAAAAGGAAGGTCCAAAATGCCACCAAAACGTACTCAAAAGCTGAAGCTACCGCAACACATAGAAAAAACGAAGTTTAGAGTTCAAGAAACAAAATGAAAGTCATTCTATTAATCAGTGTCCTGGTGTTCGTTGCCCAGTGCTCCGCCCGAGAGGTGGGAGTTGTTCGTCATCATCAGCGAAATCATCATTTGGGCACGGTTAAGGCCGAGACGCGGGTTGTGGGTGGCTCGGATGCCCCAGCTGGCTTTGCGCCCTACCAGGTGTCCATTATGAGCACCTTTGGGGAGCATGTGTGCGGCGGCAGCATCATTGCCGAGCGCTGGATCTTGACAGCCGCCCACTGCCTGGAGTGGCCCACACAATACCTGAAGATCATCACCGGCAGCAATGACTACACCAAGCCGGGAGCCGAGTATCTGGTGGATGGGGCCAAAATTCATTGCGGCCATGACAAGCCCGCCTATCACAATGACATTGCACTCATCCACACGGCAAAGCCGATTGTCTACAATGCCCTGACTCAGCCCATCAAGCTGGCCAGCAAGGGCAGCCTGCCCAAGGCGGGGGATAAGCTCACCCTCACCGGCTGGGGCAGCACCCGCACCTGGGGACGCTATGTGACGGATCTGCAGAAGATTGACCTGAAGTACGTGGATCATTCGGTGTGCGAGTCCAAGGTGCGCAATGTCAGCTGGCTGAGCGAGGGACATTTGTGCACCTTCACGCAGGACGGCGAAGGATCCTGCCATGGCGATTCCGGCGGTCCATTGGTGGACGAGAACCAAACCCTCGTGGGCATTGTCAACTGGGGCGAGGCCTGCGCCATTGGCTATCCGGATGTGTACGGATCTGTGGCCTACTATCTGGACTGGATCAACTTGATGATGACAGACGCGGGCACCGCCTGCTAAAGTCACCCCCCACGGGGCCAAAGTTGGGTTCAAAAGCCACAAAGAACAAAAATTGCCAAACGCCATATACAAGCGGCGTTTGCAAATCGATCAAAGTAGACAGTAAAATTGTTTATCACACCAAATATCGTAGTCATTAAATAATAATTTACGAACAAATAAAATGAAAGAAAACGCGAATGAATTGCGTTTCGCATATTTACACAAACAAATTTATTTCTTGTCTTTACTTTGGTAACAAGCAAAAAGAATTCCACTGCCAAAAAGGTAACCCCCCGCCTAGATAAGTTCCAGTCAATCGCTAATGTCATGATATTCCCAATAGTTTAGTTCCCAGAAATGACTCAATCGAAGTCAACAAACAAGTCCCAGGGCCAGTCATGTTTGCGGGAATTAAAAGTTTTAGGAAGCTCATCGCTATCACATGACGAAACGAAGTGCCAGCCAGCCAATGCAATGGGGAAGTAGATTACAGGAATTAATTTGATTAGGCATAGACTAACGGTTCAGTGTCTGGCTGGGACTCAGACATTGGTGGGAGGTACTTCAATTAACATTCATTACACTTCAGAGTTTGTTAATAGTTCTAGCAGCGGGACCCTCGAGTTTTGCATTCAGTTTGATTGTCTTCCTCCTATCACTCAGCTGGATGTCCCAGAAGTAGCACAAAACGTGACTGGCCTGCAAAAGGGTTCTGTTTTCCACAATCTCCAGCATTTAGTACTATAAGTAGAACCCCCCAAAAGCAGACCAACTTCAGTAGCTCTCATTATGTCACCTCTTCTGCACATTCTCCTGACACTCGCTGGCAGCTGCTGCGCTTCCAGCCAAGTGCTGTATCCCCCACAGTACACAAACACACGCATTGTGGGTGGCGAGGAGGCGCCCGAGGGCCTGGCACCCTACCAAATATCGCTGCAGGGAGCAGCCAGTGGGCGGCACTCGTGCGGCGGTGCCATCATCGATGAGCGCTGGATCATCACGGCTGCCCACTGTACACGCGGCAAGCAGGCGAGCGAGTTCCGCGTGCTCGCTGGCACACAGGATCTGCAGCAGAACGCAACGAAGTATTACTATCCGGATAGGATCGTGGAGCACTGCAACTACGAGCCACGCAAGTACCGCAACGACATTGCCCTGCTGCACCTGAACGAGTCGTTTGTGTTTGACAATGCCACGCAGAAGGTGGAGCTGGATCATGAGCCACTGGTGCCGGGTTCTCGTCTGCTGCTCACTGGCTGGGGCACTCTGTCGCTGGGTGGCGATGTGCCCACTCGCCTGCAGAGCCTGGAGGTCAAGTATGTGCCCTACGAGCAGTGTCGAGCGGCACATGACAACAGCAGCAGGGTGGACATTGGCCACGTGTGCACCTACAACGACAAGGGACGTGGCGCCTGTCATGGCGATTCGGGTGGTCCACTGGTGCACAATGGACGACTGGTGGCTCTGGTCAACTGGGGCATGCCCTGCGCTAGGGGTTATCCAGGTGAGCACTGAAGCTGATTGTTATTTATTTTGTTTGATTGTATTCTTCCCTAGATGCTCATGCCTCGATTGCCTACTATCACGACTTTATACGCACTCATTTGAGTCTAACCGAAACGGAGAGCGATCCAGAGGGTAATCCAGAGGAATTGACTGTGTCCCAGCGTGGCAGACATTGCAGCTGAATATAAAATGGTTTAAAGTGTATTTTACTTTATTTAATAAAGTGAAAATGGAATCTGCGCTCAGCCAATCATTTAATTCGCTGCGGATTTGTTCCAGCAATTGCTTTAGTTTCCCCTGGTAAATGCATTTCAGTTGCTTTCGGATCCTCAACATGTTCGCAGCCACCAAAATAAGTTCCCCTCTGTGCCTGCTGCTACTCTGCCTGACTGCACAACCTACTTTGGCACGACACAGAAGAAAGTTACACCTAAGAGCAGACCCAGATTCTAGCATTGGGGATGTGGTAGCTCCCCGGAACTTGTCCCCGTTTCAAGTGTCCATACAAAACTCACACAAGAAACACAAGTGCAGTGGCGCCATACTCTCCAAGGATTGGATTGTCACAACGGCACACTGCATGAAGCGGGCCAAGGTGTCCAACTATAGCATAGTCACCGGCACACAGACATTGGGTGCAAAAGATTCGAGAATCGGTGTCTACAAAATCGAATATGTGATTCCACATCCGCACTTTGACAAGCCAAAGAAAGCGAATGACATTGCACTGATACGCACGCACAGGAGCATCGAGTTCAACAGCTTGGTGAAGGACATTAAGTGTTTGGGTTCGCCACTGCCGAGGGATAGCCTCGTGATGCACACCGGCTGGTCCTGGCGCAAAGGTGTGGCCGAGAAGGAGATGCGTGGCGTCTATCACAGGGTCATTCCCTATGGCGAATGTTTGAGTTACTTTGAGAGCAGGGTGCGCAATCCCATTGGGCCCGGTCACATGTGCTTGAATCTGCCGAAGGACAAAGACTATTGCCTCAAGGAAACTGGCGGTCTGCTGGTGCACAAAACAAAGCTGGCGGGTCTCAGCAGCTTTGGTGCACCCTGCGCCAATGGAGAACCTGTCATAGCCACCAGAATCTCGTTCTATTATGATTTTATTAGAACCATCATGAAGGGCTGTGTGCGTTGCACACACGAGTATGGTTTTGAAGCGAGGTTCTTTGATTTGTAGTGGAAAGATTTTGCAAGAAATAAATCTTGGACATTAAATTTCTCAACTTTTAATACGAAAACACTTAAAACTTAGACAACATTGGGTGAGAAAGGGTTCTATGTGTGGGTTAATGACAGCTAACTAGCAATGAGAAGAATACTTAGAACTGATTCGCGGGCAGATAATGATTACCAATGGCATTGCCTCCACCATTATTGCCATTATCAATGAAGTTGCCCTCGCCCTGCTGCTGCTGCTGCTGCTGTTGCTCCTCTTCATCCTCCTCTTGCGGATCCAGCGATCCCACCACAGAGGTAATGGGCGCCACACCCTCATCGGTAATGGTGGAACTCCCACCGAGTGTGTCGTACTGCGACTGAATCTGTCGCTGAGCATTGACAGCCTCCTCGGGCGTGCGATACTTGATGAAGAACACCTCCGGCTTGTTGATGTGCTGCGGCGACTCGGCAATGGCATCCTGCAGATCAGCAGCCGTTGTCTTCTTGGCCAGCACATAGACGACAGTCTTCTCCTGCTTGAGGGTCTTGGCTAGGTTGAGAGCGGCAGCACGGTTCGTCTGTGCCGGAGTCTTGACAAAGAGCACATTGTAGTGGTTGCGCGGCTGCTGGGCCAGCTGGTTGAGCTCGTCCTGCACCTCATCGTCGGACTCCTCGGGCGCCGAGTGAATGAAGAAGTTCTTGGTGACAATCGGACGCTTGGGTATGCGCACACGTGGCCGTGGGCGGCGATGCTGCTGGGCGGGAGCTGTCTGGAAATTGATGGGGAATCCAGCGGGCATGGGGAACGAGGCGGAGGTGGGACGAGCGGCAGCCTGGGACTGGTACTGGACACCGGGTGGCAGATAGCTCAGTGGCAGCGGCGGCAGCACTGGATGCGATGATTGCTGCTGATGTTGTTGCTGCTGCTGCTGCAGCTGTTGGTTGAGCAAATGTGCCACAACTGGTGGCTGGAGTTGCACCTGCGACTGATGCTGCTGCTGCTGCTGCTGCTGCTGCTGGATGCGGTAGTTGTAGCCCGCTTGGGTCAGACTGATGTCAGCCTGGGCCAGCGCCAGTGCGCCCATCAGAACCGTCTGAAAAGGAGAGCGCGAGATTAGGTAATCCTTTTTGGTATCCGCTTGGGTTAATCCACTGGGGGCTAAAACGCACCACAAATATCTTCATGCTGCTGCTTGGGTTTGGTCTCTCTCGCTGATGTTAGCTGTCGCTGTCGGTTACTCCTCTCGCTTCGTGTGTCTCTGTGGCTGTGATGATGGGTCAAGTGGCAACAACTCTTTTTATACGACTCCACTCTATGCGGCCATAACATGTTTATAATCGGAAACAAATAATGAAACGGCAGCAAGACCGAAAAAGTTGCAACAGTTTTTGGGCCATAAAACACAAACAAAATTCGTTTTGTTATGCGGAGTCAACGGAGGCGAAAGAAGATCTGTCCGCCTGGTTGGGTGGCAAGTGGCAGTGGGAGCTTTTGTGCCCATCAAAAGGTCGAGCGAGAGGGTAAATTTACAATGAAACTGGCTCTACGCTGAATATTTATTGTGTTTATTCTCACACCAGCAAAAGAAGGCCCAAGAGGAGTGATTAAAATGTGCGAAAATTGTGAGGGATATCCCCTTGATTTACTGTCAGCAATCAGTCATTTCTGAGCACATTTCTGCATAAAGAAATTTGAATTAAATTTCTGCTCTTTTGCCATTTTGTACACTTTGATTCCTGCTTCCAAATAAATTCCCAAAATTGTTTTTTTAAGCCAAGCAGCTTCCATTTTAAACAGTTCATTTGCTGTCAGTTTTTTACCCATCAAGTTGAATGACCCAAATTGATACACATCCATATCTACATATAGTTTGCATACTAAACACTAGATATACCCACCATATATTGATGATATTGTTGATGAGACGAGGTTACAAACTATTGCTTTTCAAATGCACTTTTTGTTCGTAAAGGCCCTTTTGTCTGTGGCCAGCTCTTTATTGTCTGCAACTGGAACTATCAAACGTAAATTGAATATATTTCGGGGACTGTATTTCGCATCATATGTCGTGAGCGAGGGCCAAGGTCCAGTTGGGTTGTTGGGCGACATATTGTCAGCTCTAAATGTGCCAAATTGATACGAGAAAAAACACCAAAAAAGTGAAGGTAAGTGAGCCAATAAATCAGAAAGCATTTAGTCATATGAGAGGGATGCGCTGAGGCTATCGAAATTGGTTCAGCTACCAAACGGAAATGAGTTGTCATAACAAGCTGCGATAATCCCTTATAAAGCTAATTGGCTGCCCTTCTACTGATGGGTGAACGTATCTCCAATAAGCCAAGCTAATAGCTGAATAGCTCTTTCAATTTCCTTTCCAATTTTGTTACAGAGGAAATTTGACAATTTCTTTGACAGTTTGTATGTGGATTCACCCACTCATGGCGGGATAACTTGTGCAACTGAATGCACTGACTGGAGTGCATCTGATTAGTCAGTCAGCCAACCTTCACGATGATAAGTTGGCCCACATTTCTGGCTGCCTCAAAACTGGTTTCACACTTTCTCACGCCAATTTCGTGGGCCATGACGAAAAGCAACAAATTGTTAGAGAAATATAACTTTTAGTCTGGTTTATTTTCTGCGAGTGTGAGGGAGGGCATTAAAGATGCAAACATCTGTCAAAGAAGTATACAATAAATATCAGTTGGTAATGCGAAACCGGGCATTACTTTGTCATTAATTAATAGACAACGAAAGTTACTTTTTACATGCACAAAATAAAGTAAAGTCAAACGAAATAGCTGTGACCCCTGATTAATGAGTGTCAAGCGTGGCCGCACTTTGCATATTTTATGCAAATCCAAAATTGGTTGCTAAAATGCCCATCCAGTAAATTAAATGCAAAAGACTCGGTGCACAAAAGTGAATGTTGACGGCACACGCACACACACACACACACAAATTATGATTTTGCGTAACAAAACTATTTTAATAATTTATTAATTCACACCAATGTGAGATTTTGACATTGGCCTTTGTCCATTTCTATGCATAGCATTAGCAACCGAAACAAACTTCGTCTACGACCACGAATCCGCATCAAAATCCCCATCTAAATCCATCAGTTGGACATTTGATGGGGCGCTAAGCGCACCTTCGAGGCCTATTGGCCCGCAAAATAAAAACAAAAACCTAACAAATGCATTTTGGAATATGGACCTAAAGTGGAGTCCTAATTAATTATGAGACATCGTGCACTCACAGCCAAATATTTTTGCATATACAAAAATAAAGCTATTGTTGTTTGTGGTATAAATTCGTTGCGGCATTGTCTTTGACGGGGCTTAAGCTGACAGTTTTAACATGGGCTAAGGCATAAATGTAGACAAATGAGTGGGGATATATATGGTAAATATGGTTGGCAGTTGATTTGCCATAATCTATGAGGATGAGAGTCGAATGAGCGGGTGTAAGTACTTTTGATAAATGATTGGAGCGAATGCAAGCAACGGGAAAAGCAAAAATATGGTAATTAAATGTTGTAAACTTTGATATTTCCTTTCTACGCTAATTGCATTTAAAAGTTAAATATTTTATAACTCTTATTTTATTTGAAGGAAACTAAAAGCCCTCTCCAAAGCGTCACGAAAAAGTAGTAAAAAGTATTTACGCATTTTGCTTTCAGCTCTAAAAAATGTTTACGCCATTCAAAAACACACAAATAAATCCAACACTTATCCAGCACACTCGAATATTGTTTGCGCTGCTTTCTGTAAAGTAGAACACCTGTCGCGTATTGGAATCCTGCAGCTCTCGATAGCTCGTGTGAGTGCGTGCCAAGCTGGAGGCTCCACCCACATGGCACAGGGTGTCCATCTGTACAAGAAATCAAAGTTAAATATGTTCTAGTGACTGACAGAGAGACAAAACGCACCTGTTGCCGTGTCAATGTCTGCACCTTGGCCTTGACTAGCCACTCGACATTTTCCACACAACCGGGCACTGTCAGGGAGCCTCGATACTGATAGTAGGCTCCTATGTCCCCGTACAGCTCCCGCATCAGAAATATTGAGTTCATTTCGTTGATCTTCCATGTGGATTCATTCACCAAGGGCTGCCCACGCAGCGTGTCCACAATGGCAGCAATGGCACGACTGGGCACATTGGTGACCTCAAAGACGACGCTCACCATAACCAGACCCTTTTCCTGGTTCAAAGCCGCCTTCAGACTGGCAGCAGACTCCAGGCGGAACACGATTTGCACCTCCATGTCATGGCGCACATTCTCTAGCACATGTTCCGCGCCGCAATGGAAGTGTATCTGCTCCGCCACATAGACCAGCTCACGGAACTGCATGCCGCCGCTCAGTCGAATGCTGTGCGTAAAGTTGTGCAAAATTACTGGAAACAAGGTGTTGCTGCAGATGAAATTGGGAAAGTATGTTAGGTGCCAGACTTACCCACATAGCCATTGTAGAGCAGTGCCAAATGTGGCTGCTCCACGGTATCGTTCAGTATATGCAACTTCGTTGGTCCGTGTGTGGCATAAGCCTCGTTCAGCTCAATGGGACTCTGCTTATGGCCGGTGTTACATACGCCCGGCCAATCACTTTCAGCTAAAAGATATATTGCCATTGAATTGGGTAGCAAATAATAGAGAGAGAGTGGAAGGCAGCTTACACAGATTCCCTTTAGTGGCGTAATCCAAGTCCAGCCAATTCTCTTCAGCTGCCACGCAAGCCAGCTGGAGTGAGAGCATCACCAGAAGCCAAAAGTTAATCATTTTAAGGCTGATATATTTTGACATGTTACTAAAAGCCAGCCAAAATATTTATACACTTTTCAGCTCCGCTCATAAATTGTTTTCCACTTCAAAAACGCCCCAAAAGTATGCTCCCCATTAATTATACATGTTTTGGGTTGGAAATGTATTTCTTACATTTATTTATCAGCGAGGCGGCATCTACCGGTAAACGAATGCGTTTTGGATGCTGTCAGTGAGGGTACTGGTGGGTGGGTGGCTGCCTTATATCGGACTGCCCCTTGACAACAACGTGAACCTTGACCAAATCCCAGTTGGTTCAAAGGCAGGGCTTTCGCCTCAGTGCTCTTTGAGGTCAGCACCTTGGACCTTACACTCAGGAGGTTTGACCTTCCACTCATTCAAAAGTTTCTCTCAATCTGCAATCCCAGAACACATTCTAACTCACTCTCATTATAAACAATCTTTACTTTAAATAAATACAGATTTACTCGTAAAGCAACATTTATTATTCCAAAAAGTATGCAACAGAAATGGAATATATTTGACTGTGAAACATTTATTGATAAGAATAATACACACGTAAATCATGTTTTGTGTCATCATTCTTCATATGCCGCTCAGAAAAATGATTAAAAGTAATTATGGGCAGACCTCGAGCTGTCTTCTTAAAAATATATTATGTACGTTTGTTTGCTGGTCACAGTTTGTGATAATGCTATCAATTTATTCAGTTTAGGAATGAAATTGAACAAAAGAAAGCCAAGAAATCTCTGGCCCTATCTGATCTGCGCCAACGATTAGTTAGAAGCACTTGTGTTAAAAGAATACGAAATTGAAAAAATATTCTGATTGGTGCCAACGATTAGTTAAGAGTACTTTAGATTATGGTATCTAGATTAACATTTGCTGAAATTAATTGGAAGCTTAAGATTGCCTTATTACAAGGCGCCATTGCAGTATTCCCCGATGGGCTAGCACTTTAACTGTGCGAATATTTTGTGGGAATTATATTCCAAGCAGGAGCAAAACTAAGAAATTAGAAAAATGTATATATTTTTTATTTTCAAATAGAAATGTTAAGCTATTAAACTCAGTTAGTGCTCCCCATTGGATAACCCTTTTGGCTCTGTTTTCTAATTTTCTTTTTTCGATGTTCTCTTTGATTTTCTAACTGTGCAAAGTCCAACTTTAACTCGGCAAATATTGACAATTTTCCTCTTTAAGTGCTCATATTTAATAACCATTCTAACACTCTAAAATCAAACTTTTAAAATCGTTTTCTATTGTCCAAGCACTCTGATTACTGTACCTCCCTTTAGTTTCCCATATATCTGTGTAGATAAGATTGCTTTTCGGTCTGTGCTTGTGCAGTTTATAATGATTACTGTCCCATCAATAACTACGGCACCAATCAAATTAAGTGCGTCCAAGTGTCATTTCTCAATGAAGAACGATGATGAAGTGTGGTTGGTGGTGGTCAGCACACCATAAGTCCAAATCAAATACCTCGACCGACGACACAGGTCATAAAAGGTGATATAAAAACCTTGCTGCTAGCAGCAGTTGTTGTTGTGGTGATTTAGCATCGCTGCAATATCAATTAGTGTTATCAGGGAACGCAATTGGTCAGTTGACGATACCCATTATCAGTGATTTTGTCGAATTATATTTGGCCATAAGCCACGAGAGTCCATCCAGGAATCACACTGACCGAGAATGGCCATAAAAATACGAGTACTCGTGCCTGTGGTATTGTGATTAACTAATATATTCAGCGTAACATAATGGCTCACCGTCTATTTTGGGACACAAAATGGCCATAAAGGTTTACTGGTCAGTTTGAACTTTCAGCGGAATAAATGGGCTACAGGCGACCGGCTGCCACTTTCAAGTCTCGTTCGACTTTTCAGTTAACAAGAATCGATGGAATAGCGACTGAGTGTGTGTAAAATGTTTTGGTTTTATTGCGATCGGTGAACTTTGCACTCTAACATAAGCTGACTAGCTGACTTGTTCGGCATTTACAAACTAATGAGTATTTTAATTTTAGCTTTTAACTCCCTGCATCTTCTCCCTGTCATGGATAACTTTACAAGAAATTCGTTGTAGCTACACCGAGGAGTGTCCTCAGTGCATTCTTTGGTACGAGTATGTCTATGGCTGCTGCTACGCATCATCTCTCAGCACTCAGCTCCAGGCTGCATCTACAGGAACAGCTTCTGTGCCGCCATTGCGAGTAGCAGAATGAGGCCGAATGATGCCGTGCGTCCAGCTGCACCGCCTGTACGATGATCCGAATCGACCAGCACCACAACTCGATTGTTAATGGTCTGCAGGAATCTGTAATTGTTGTACAGCTGCTTGCCACTTGAGTACTCGATCTTCTTGAACTCATTGACCTGCTCCAGTGTCACGGGCAGCGTCTCGGTGAGCACAATCCAAATGACAGACTCGGCACACGAGGGTGTGGTCAGGGAGCCAGCATAGGTGTAATAGCTGCCCAGAGTTTGTGGCATCAGATCGCTCACCGCCAGCGAGTTGGCCACCGTCACGGGTTTGTTCACGCGACTGTAGGCCTGCACATCATCCAGGTTCTTGATGATGCTGCCAATGGCCGCGTTGGGCGAGTTGGAAACATGAAAGAGCACACCGACGACCACGATTCCGTCCTTAAAGCTGGTTGCCACCGTCATGTTGGGGTACAGCCTGTTGCGGTGCACCATGTGCACTTCCAGTGGGTAGCGCACGCTGTTGATGGTGTGCTCCGACCACCAATGCAAGTGGATTTGCTCCAACTCGTACTCATGCCCCAGTCCGCCACCTTGCAGCACCATATCATCATTAAAGTGATTCATTTGTACTACAGAAAAGGGAATTTTGCTTAGGGAACTAATCCAGAGACAATAATTAACTCACCTGAATGTCCATTGTTGACCATGTCCAGATTTTTCTGCTCATCGTCGTAGTTCTTGAACTTTAGTTTATCAAACTTGCCCTTGAGTGCCCACTTGGCCTCCAGATTGATGGGACTCTGTCTCTTGCCACTGTCGCACAGACCGCCCCAACTGGGAAATGCTGCAGGGAGGAAGAGAATGTGTCCAAAATTCAAATGAAACTTGTTGCAAATCAATTTCCAGAGTTTTTATTAGAAATTAAATGCTCATAAATCAAAATTTATACAATTGAAAATAACTCTAACCCGAAATTTGGTATTTCGCGGAATTTTGTTGAGCCCAAATTGAACATCATTCACAATATTCACAATTCTCGCATACTCGCACTCTGTCCAATTTGCATGCCCAGCAATTTGGCGCAATTTTATTAAGCCTCACAAACTCAAGCCCGGAGCGTGTACGTTAAGTGACCCGACCCGGGACACACACACACAAAGCACAAATGCGAATAAATATATATGTCATACACATAGAGCTCTAATGTCTCTGTGTCTATGCAAAGCACTTGACAATGGGAAACGGCTCGAGAGTAACCTGCTCCCCGGACAAACACACACACAAAACGGGGGCACTCGGAGCGTTGATTAAGTAATTTTAGCAAATAAACTTGAATGGCTTGCAGATTGGCACTACTTACGCGCATCCTTATTGTTTTCCAAGTCGGGATAGTTCCAACCGGCGGCCCAGCTCAGGCCCAGCGAGCAGCAAACTGTAACGTAAGAAAGGTTGAACACATAAATATCAAGTATACGCACAAACGGTGCTAATGGCAACAATTTACAAAAACGTGTAAACTTCAACTTGACCGACAATCACAATGTCAACAAAATGCTCAGGGCCGAACACACACTAAAAACACTGCACTGGGTCCGCTCTGGTCTGTTCTGCTGATGGGGGCCATAAAGTACGAGTAAAAAAGAGCCAAAGAGAGAGCGGACGGACAGAGGGTCAATCTATACATTGTTTTGGCAGCGTCAGCAGACGACAGGCAGCACCTTGCACTTAATTTTGAATTCAGCTAAAAATACACAAGAAATTTATGATTTCAGCCACATATTGGCGGGTATATCTAAATATATATGAACGGGATTATATTATTTCAATCAACTGCTGTTGCCGATGGCATAAATGTTTCATTAACCTGCACAACAATTGGACCAAAATCATTTATTTTCTGGTGGTTTCTTCTCTCGACTGCCGCTGTGGCTTTCTCCTTGTTTTGTGGCTAAAAGCATTTTGACATCTGCACATCAAAATATCAACTCAATTTTTATGCGTGCGGCCTGAGCAAATTTTTACGATCCATTTGGGTATTTAAAAAGCACTGATCCATCAGCATAACTCTGCACCACTCGGTGATCTGTGATCTGTGATCTGTGTGATCCAATATATGTGTTTATTAAGACATAACCAGACTCAATGGGCTAATAAAAAATCCGCAAAAAACGGACTGTTAATTTATTGTCCGGTTCTGTCTTTAATCTTTGGCAAATGTATGCTCACTGTTTGACAATTTTGCAAGTTTTTCACTGCAAGAGACAAACGACAACGGCAGCTGTGAAAGTTGAGTACTATGTGTAGCTATGTTTAAATATATTAATGTATTTTTTGCCAGGGGGAAGGAACGTGTTCATCGGCTGATGTTTTGCATAGTATAGAAGTCGCCTCTTGGGTCGCCCTCCTGTGACGCAATGGTTGCGAGGGAAAAGATTTCCAAGTTATGCCATTTGTTTTGCGATTAGACAGAACCTAATAATATTTCATTTTGAATCTATTCTAGTCTGTAGCGCGAGACTTTAATGATTTTTTAATATATTATGCGAGCACATGGTGGCCAGCCCGAGCGTACTTAGAGATTTGAGTGATTTTGCAGTGGAATGATGGATTATAAAGCAATCAAATTCATTTGGAAATTTAATGAAGAAATGATCACAAGACTCGTATCGGGCGTATCATGCGGTTATATAACATTTGCTTGATGCAAACGCCAGAACTGGGAACTGTTGAAAGAATCACTGCATCTTGATCGCTTCCGAAGTGTTCCCCCTTCCGTCTCGTCTGCTA